ACCCTCCTGACTAGTTATTGCCAATAAAATGTGAGTGGAGATGACATGTTTCTGTTCCAGGCCAAGGTGGTTAAGAAACAGGGAAGCCTTCTTAACCATTTTCCCCATTCTCTTTATTCCCAACTGCCTGAAGTTGCACTTGTTAAAGTCAGCAGTGCTACCCTCCTGACTAGTTATTGCCAATAAAATGTGAGTGGAGATGACATGTTTCTGTTCCAGGCCAAGGTGGTTAAGAAACAGGGAAGCCTTCTTAACCATTTTCCCCATTCTCTTTATTCCCAACTGCCTGAAGTTGCACTTGTTAAAGCCATCAGCAGTGCAAGTCCCAGAGTGACAGCCCAGAGCCCCAGCCGATCTGGAACCACTGGGAACCATCTGGTATTGTTCGGTAAGAACAAAAGTTATATTTATGTATGCCTATACAATGTCGCCATTTGCTTTTTCATAGCAGCTAGCATTACTCTAAGTAGGAGACAAATCCTATTCAAGGTTATAACATACCTGTTATGTGAATGCGATATTCTTCCTTAAAGATCTTCTGGAAGAAAGGAATCTGGAACTGCATGTGAGGCGTATGCAAGCCAGGGAGATTTACATCAACGTCTCCCATGAAATGTGGGAACTCCCAGTCCTATCAGAGAAAATCAACATAAAAACATATTTGTGATTTGTTTTGTACCTAAGCAGTGAAACATCCCAAAATCGACTTTTTGTAAGCACTTATAAAATCATTTCAATGCAGCCAAGCTGTTGGATGTATCAGTTTCATTCGGTGATGGTTATTTTATGTACATTAGGTAGCGGTGTGCATTCAAAATCAACATTAAGTCATAACTTATATCCTCAGCTTTTCTCTTTAATGTGGTACTAAGAAACCAATACGGAATGGATTTGCATCTATACATGTTTATCTTTTTCTTCTGGAGAACTGATTTTAAATTTTTATAGGAAGCAAGCAATCCATATTTTATAAATATAGGGTAAATTTGTTTCACTACCTTTAAAATAGATAAACCCTATAATAGCATGTTTTATGTAACAAGATGAAGTAAAAAGGATCTGATTCACTTAAGAAATTCTTCCGTTTTCATCACGGCCAAAGACTCCTGTCCTGCTCTCTTGCAATTTAGCACTAGTTTGAACCCAACAATGGAGGGCCTGACATGCTACCGTAAGAGACAAACTGAATTAATTCCCAAACTGTCATTAGTTATTTCCTGGTTGTGAAAGCAAAACCAAGTGGGCTAACCCTCCCTTTCACAAATCAAGATATTTTCAGGTGTTTCACCTGCTCTTGGTTTTTGGATGCAGGCATCAAAGTAAAGTTCATAACTAGCATGAGAAGAAAGAATGCACAAAATATAAAGAAACATTTGAGGTGAATCCATAGACATGAGTACAGATATTTTCACTTTTAATAATGAAATAATCATTAAATTATCAGTTCTGTATTTAGTGAATATTTTTAAAGAACTTGAATATTGAAAAAATAAGACAATAAATACTAATTTAAAATTTCAATCCATTATCTCAATATAAAAAAGTTGGAATTTCCCAAGACTTCTATATATGCAGCTAATAGAGGTGCGTTAATAATGCAGTTCCCAAACATGTTGCGGGTTTTCCTGCCCATTCCCCTCTCCTCTTTGCTGTGAATTCTGATTAAGGGAAAACAGGCCTTGGAGAAAGGAGAACATGTGAGTGGTGGTAAACAGGAAGCTTTCAATGTTTATTAATTCTTGACTTATGGATCACTTCAAGTGGCCAAGAAGGAATAAGTACACAAGAAGAAAAATAAAATGATGCAACATCATCCCTTTCTATTGGTACGTATGCAAATATCTTGTTGGTCTCACCTCTCCTTGTTTTTCAGACATTAGCAGCAAGTAGGCATGTAATTTGCGAAATTCAGAAAACCCAAAGCATTTGAGCTAAATGAATTTGAACATTTTGATCTAAAATACTAGTAGAGCCCTAACTGGTTTGGCTCAGTGGATAGAGCATTGGCATTCAGACTGAAGGGTTCCAGGTTCGATTCTGGTCAAGGGCACATGCCCAGGTTGCGGACTCTATCCCAAGTAGAGGGTGTGCAGGAGGCAGCCAATCAATGATTCTCTCTCATCATTGACATTTCTATCTTTCCCTCTTCCTTCCTCTCTGAAATCAATAAAAATATATGAAAAATAAATATGAAAAATAAAATATTAGTAGAAAATGGATTGGTAATAATACTTGTGAACTATTGAATTTTATTAAAGTGTATTTGATACTATTTTGTTCTATGTTACATAACAAGACTCCTGCAAGGAGAATTGAAATTGATTTGGCTTTTTGATAAATATAACTAACATCTCCCATGAAAAATTACACTTGGTAAACAAAGAGATTGATAACCAAGAGTATCTTTCGCTAGCCCTGGATAAAGAATACAAAGCATTACCAGGAAAACAATTTTCCTTTTTATTTCTTGGTTTAAAAAAGAGAATGTTTCTCAGTAGTAATTGGGCAAGTGTACTTAGGGTACCTTCTTTTTGGAAAGATATTATTGGATTGTTCTCATTTGGCTTTTCATTCCATAAAACTAAAGTTTCTATTGGGTATGAAATTGGTCTTAGTTTGAAAGTAATCTCTAGAGCAGTGGTTTTCAACCTTCCTAATGCCGCGACCCTTTAATACAGTTCCTCATGTTGTGATAACCCCCAGTTTCATTGCTACAAATTGAACTTAATTAAAGCATAGTAATTAATCATAAAAACAATATGTAATTATATATGGGTTTTCTGATGGTCTTAGGCGACCCCTGTGAAAGGGTCATTCAACCCCCAAAGGGGTCGAGACCCACAGGTTGAGAACCGCTGCTCTAGAGATTTCATGTAGACTGGGATCAAAACTTCATGCATCAAAAAATAGTTCCTCAATTATTTCCCACCTGTACTTGGAGATAGAAAGATGAATTAAGGAAATGGAGATTAAAAGGAAGAGAAATTCTTACTCTTTATATGGACTACTAGAGGCCCGATGCATGGGATTTGTGCACTGGTGGTGGGGGGTGGCCTATGGGGATTGGCCCGCTGTGGAGCACCGCTCATCCCTGTCAGCCCAGCAGCTGTGGACCCGCCCTCTGAGCAACTGCTCCCACTGTGGGAGCACACTGACCACCAGGGGGCAGCTCCTGCATTGAGCGTCTGCCTCCTGGTGGTCAGTGCGTGTCATAGCAACTGGTTGACCAGTAGTTCTGGTCATTCTGCCATTCGGTTGCTGGGGTTTTATTATATAGGATGGTATTATTATTATTTTTTTTTAAGGGCTCAAGTAAGGGCATTTGAGGGAAAGTGTGAGAGAAGTAGCTGGTGCCATTTAATTTAAGAAATTTTTCAAAGGATTAATAAAAAAGAGATGATACATTCTCTTAGATTTGCCCCTTTTACATTATTTATTATAATTACCACATTTTGTTTTTCAAAACTTGTTTCCTCAGTCTCTGCCTCCACTCTCTCCCTGCTACTCTAGTTTTTGTACTTCAATTTCTACTCTGCATATTTCTTCAGACTCATTATTGAATCAGTGGAAACTCTGGCCTTACTTGACAGAGTGGAATGGTAATAATAATTGCTACTATTTTCAGGATATCTTGGGCTCATCTTAATGGAGAATACCTGGTAATAACCCAGGTATTTACTTGAAGAAGGGGAGTGGACAGTGTTCTAAATCTTCCTAGGTTTCAGTCTCTTCACCTATATTTGGGATTAATATTTATATTTATATCATTTATATTTATATACAAAATTATCCTGAAAGCTTGCTATGAACCCGTTTCACAGATGAGAAAGTTTACCTCAGAGAGGTTAAGTTGCCACAATGTAACATAGCTACCATATGGCAGAACCTGGCCCAAACAATACATAATTTCTGCTAGGTTATGCTGTCTTTAATTGTGAAAAGTGACTGCAGCTACTATGTTTTATTCAGAACTGAAATTATTTTTACCTGCTATATCTGGTTCTAGTTGAGAATCGCTTATGGCAGTCATGCCTGCTTGTCTTTCACCAACAGCCAGTTCCATGAGGAGCTTTAAACTATTTTCCTCCCACCCCCATTCCAAGAGGGCCCTCATTTTTATCTGACCTTACCTTGAACAAGAATAACTGTAATTCTTTCTCCACTAAACAACTGTCCCAGAAATAGTTGGCTTGTAATCCAACTGATGAGGGAAATTTGAATAACGGGTGATTGATAGCAAATACCGAGATCCTCTTGGCATTGTGACTATGGATGTACAGCCAATTTCATACACAAATTGCATGAGAGCCTTGGCTTTATCTCCTTATGCATAAATGTTAAATATGTACTTTGAACACAAGACAAAAATGTTGACTTAAGAGAATGATGAGGCAAGATATGTTTGGCTACTAAGACCAGGGTAGATCCAGGCTGATCCTGTGGTTGCATATTAAAAAAGTCTTAATTTATTTTGTTCTTCAAGAAATGTTATCAGTATTTAGTAATTAAAAGCTTCATTACTACCTTCTGATATTAAACCTAACAATAACTGCAGAGGTCTGTCACATTTGTGCTTCAGAGATGTAAAAATTATTTACCACACATGCTATTCCAGCCAGTTCTCATCAGCTCATGGTGATGAACAGACTTCCAACTTTGTATCTCGCTTCATCTATGACAGACAATCCATTGCCATTCAGATGGGCATATTTCCCATGTAAAAATAAATGAGCAGTGCCATGGTGTATATCTAATCTCATTTTTTGCATACTATGGCCTATAGCAATAAAAATCACATTTGAACACTGATGTCCAAATTACATTTGGATGTGTAATTTGGACTGATTTGTCCAAATATGATTCTGTCCAAATGTGGCCCTATTATTCATGAACCACATTGGGACAGAATTTCAGGACCATCTTAACTATATAGGCAAGATGGTCTCAGGATATACCAGTATTGGATCCAGCATATCCCCACGTTCTCTCTTTGAGAGGCATGCCTTAGGGCCAAAGAAGTGAACTTGGTATGCAGAGGAACTCAAGATTGACACCAACACTGTTTTGAATTCCCCAACTGGCATTCAATTCCCCAAAGCAAAGGAAGAGACTTCATTTATATTTAGAGAACCGTGGGAGGATAAAAAATGGAATAACACTGATTACTCTATCCTGCTAAACTAGAGCCATAGTATCAGAACACAAGTTTTTATTTTTGGGGTCAAGGATTGGTCACTTGATTTTTGAGGAAATGAAGAGATAGATTAAATTAGATTTTACTGAAAAATACTGATCACCATTCAGAGTAGAACTGATAGTAGATTCTTAAATGTTAGTAAAAAAATACCCAACATTTTTCAATATAATACTTTGTATATCTACTATTTAAAGGCATTAAGTTTTAAATGATTTCAAAAGCCTCTTTACAGATATATTTATTTCTCTTTGTTATTCTCTATTCCTCCTGAATTTAGATCCATGAATATCAGAACATCATAGTACCAAACATTTCCCCAGCTCGTAAAGTGTCCTTAGCTTTTCTATGCTTATCAGTGTCCTAGCAACAGGATTTCAGATGACAAGGAGCATTGGTGGCCTGAAGAATTGTACTTCTGCTTTGGGTGATATTTT